AATGATAAGCCCAAGGTGAGAGATATAATTATCATCAAATTCTACATGCATGTCCCCATAAAAATGTGCAAATTTCATTCATCAATTAGAAATAAAATGTAAAATTCTTAAAAATTAAGCATTAATTACAAAAATAAAATGTATATCACAAAGAACAGAGAGAAGGAGCATTTTTGCTGGTGGTGGTAATGGTGGTCATGCTAAGAACTGAACCCAGAGCTGAGCCATGCCTATACCCCTAGCCCAGAATTCTGAATTATCCTTATTAATTAGGAATATTTATTTTCTGGTTCTTTTCCTTCTTTTTTTTTTTTTTTTTTTTTGCTCTTTTTGAGACAGGGTCTCCCTGTAGCTACAGCTGGCCTGGATTCACTAATGGAGACCAAGCTGGCCTCGAACTCACAGAGATCTGCCTGCGTCTGCCTCCTGAGTGCTGGGATTAAAGGCAGGCACCACCACGCATGGCAGAAACATTTATTTTCTAAGAAAAACAATAGATTCCAAAAGTTGGTACCTGATTCCTCTACCCCTATATTCAGTTACACCTAAGTCCTTTGAATCTTTCCCACAATCCCTGTTTTGACTCTTTCTTCCACTGAGATTTCAAAATCCCAGCTGAGGCTTTACCAGCCTTAACTAAGCCTCTCTCATCCTTCCCGAGATCTCTCTGGCCCATAGCTCCTCTATCAGTTTTCTTAAAACACCACTGTGATCATATCTGCCCAGAACTTGTAAGAACTTTTTATTACCTTCTCCATCAAGTTCAAACACCTAGCTCAGCAGTTCCTGTACAGCCCTAGCTACCCTTTATTTCTTTCTGTTCTTCCAAATAAATCCTTCCTCAAACTGGTCTAATTCATTCCTTCAGATATGCCTTGTAGTCTTCTGCCTTTAAGTGATGGTGCACATAGCTTTTCTCTACCAGGATCCCTTGCTGTTCCTGTCTTTTATTTTGGCTTATGAAATTCAAAACATCTCTCAAAAAGTAGTTTGAGAGACTCTTCATCATCATCACCTCAATATCCTCCTTCAAAAGTTAGTCACATCTGAGTTTGAATTAGAACTCCATTCACTGGCTGAGCAACACAGGACACAGTCTTTAAATACCCCTTGCCTAACATCTTCATCTGTAAGGCAGGGATAAAAGCAACTTCCCTTTGTAATGTTATGAAGAATAAATGAGTTAATTCATGTACATACTTGGCATGATGCCTGGTATACATAGATGCGAACCCAAGAGATATTAGATATTGTTGTTATTCTTACTACTAATGTTATTAGGGAACTTATATCTATCTGAATTCAGACAATATTTATGACTATTACAAACTGTTCATGTGTGTACAGTATCATTCCTCTCACTCTCCTTTTCTATTCTCCCATCTCAAGTCTGCCCCACCAGCCCTGGTACCCAGATTACATAATCCTGATAGACTAGTAATGTCTTATATGTCTTAGTATCTATAATAGACACTCACACCTAGCAGGTGAGTGTATTAAGTTACTTGTCTTGGTTTTGTGACCAAATACCTAACAGAAGCAGCTTAAGAAGGAGTTTGAGTGTACAGTCCATCTTGGAGGGAAAGGCATGGCAGCAGGAGTTTGCTCACATCTGGGCAGATGAGGAAGCAGAGAAAAAGGAATGTTGGTACTCTGCCGGCTTTTCTTTTTCTTTCTTATTCAGTCTAGTACCCAAGTCAATGGAATGGTACCACCCACATTTAGGATGGGCCCTCCCTCCTCAATTAAACCTCTCTGGAAACACCTTCACAGTCAAGTTGGCAGTGGAGACCAAGCATCACAGTAATCAAGCTTGTCTAGTGCTCAGTGAAAAATACAGAAGAGCTGACAGTATTATAATGCCCAACATACTATAGTGAAAAGTAGTAGAGAATGCTTTAAATGACGAAAAGATTAACTCTCCAGCTTCACAAAATGAAATCTTTCCTTATTTATGTCTCTATGACTTCCTTTTGCACTCTTCCTCACTTTCAAAACAAACAACCCAACCTATTTATGCAGCAAGAGATACAACAGCAAAATATATGCAGGTCAGACAGCGGCCAAATACTGGAGTACAAGGACCACGAGACAACTCAGCTGAGTAGCTCTAGATGAAGTCAAATAGGAAGACAATTTAAAGGGAAAGATGGGGCTGGAGAGATGGCTCAGTGGTTAAGAGCATTGACTGCTCTTGCAGAGGACCCAGGTTCGATTCCCAGCACCTACATGGTGGCTGTGAACTGTCCTTAACTCCAGTTCCAGGGAATTCGAAGCCCCCTTCTGACCTCCACGGCATTGCATGACATGGGTGGACTCACATACATGAAGGCAATACACTCATACACATAAAATAAAAATAATAAAATATTTTGCCAGGCATGGTGGCACACTCCTTTAATCCCAGCACTTGGGAGGCAGAGACAGGCAGATCTTTGTGAGATTGAGGCCAGACTGGTCTACCTAGTGAGTTCCAAGGCAGCTGGGGCCACAGGGAAACCCTGTCTCAAAAAACCAAAAAAAAGGCTGTGGATATTGAAAGATTATCAGTCATGCTGACCACAGGATTCCTTTATACATAGGACCAAGAATAAACCAGTGAAATAATCAGTCTAGGAGATACAGAAATATCCATCGTTTAGCTGAACAACTGAGTTTAGTACATGATCAATTTAATTGGGTGTGGAAAAAGTGACTGTTAAGAATCCTCCAGATTCTAAAGCAACCCAAGTTGGCTTAATGAAATCATATCAAGTAGATATGACCTTACTGTATATTAGTCATTCATTTCAAGATAATTGGTAAGATATTAACTTAATATATGATTATAACATAAAATGTTTTCAACAATGCCCAGAGAGAATACTGTGACAATACTGGTTTCTACTTCACATGTATGTATCCACTAACTCTTGATTGCCTTCTCAGTCAAAACCAGGCCCAGTAACCACAAAACCAAAGGATTTACTAGTGAAGTAAAGATAGTTTGAAGATATGTTATGAAGTTTGAAAATCTACCATTAAGCAGAAAATCTACTCATAAAAATATATTGTTTCTTCTCCTCTGACACTTGTCTTTAACAGACCTTAAAATGTCTTATCAGTTTTGAAGTACAATTATTAAACCACAGAATCTTAAAGCTTTAGAAACTCTTACAAGCCCCCCACTGCAGGGAGTCTTTCTACTAGCTTTCAGGCAGAAGCTCCTCCTCCTAGCAAAGTGCACTCACTGTTCAGCAAAACAATGTACTCTATTGCTACAAACATCTTCCCTATAAACCAGTGGAAACTGTCCCCTCTGATCCACTACCCAAAGATCTCAGTTCTAGATTCTGGAAAAACACACAGTAAGTTAACCTCTGAAATGGAATCATTTCTTGAATTAGGGTAGAGTTGTTCATTTGGTCACACAAGACACACAACAAGAAAACTCAAAAAAGAACAAACCCCGGCTGGAGAGATGGCTCAGCGGTTAAGAGCACTGACTGCTCTTGCAGAGGACCCAGTTTGATTCCCAGCACCCATATGACGGCTACTAAGAACCGTCCTTAACTGCAGTTCCAGGGAAATCCGAAGCCCTCTTCTGACCTCCGCGGCATTGCACGACACGGGTGTACTCACATACATGCAGACAATACACTCAAACACATAAAATAAAAATAATAAAATTTTTTTTTAAAAAAGAAGAAACCACCAGGACATGCAACACAATTTTGAAACTCAGCAAACAATACTGAAATCATCTGGCAGCATATTTTCACGATAGCAAATCTCACATTTCAGTTAACGAATATTAAGAGAAAGGTGATAGTGTTTTTGAATACCTGTTTGCAACTTGACACTACTAAATCCACCAATGCAATGTTAAAAATTACAATTCTGGCCGGGCGTGGTGACGCACACCTTTAATCCCGGCACTTGGGAAGCAGAGGCAGGCAGATCTCTGTGAGTTCAAGGCCAGCCTGGTCTACATAGTGAGTTCCAGGGCAGCTGGGGCTACAGGGAGACCCTGTCTCAAAAAGACAAAAAAAAAAACAAAACAAAAAAAAACACACAAAAACTCAATTGCTCATATTTTCATCCAGATGGTTGTTTAAGGCCCATTTTTCACCCAACTACTACAATATGTGTGTTTTCAGATATTTTCAAAAATGAAGCCTTAGAACTGGGGGAGGTGGGGTGAGGGCAAAGAGAAGCCCAAGCAGAAAAAGGCTGGTTGGTGGGGATTTTCTTTTTAGCAACATACTTTTCGGGCACAGGCATCTGAAGTGATGAGCCATTCAAACACAATCCAAGAACAAGAAAGATCATGAGCAAGGAGCGTAATGCAGATCTGTAAGGTGGAAATGAACCCGCACTGGCCATCCAGCAGCACCAGATGCTTCAGCCCCTCACCGAGAAAGGTAAAAGTCCAAGAAGAAGAGGAGACCACTGGCATCCTTTAGTGGAGGGATGAAAATCAAAGAATAACTACCGTTCAGTTGTCCAACGAAGCATGAACAGTACCGAGTCCAAGAAAGATGCAGAGACTCGGGGAAAGCACGCACCCCGCGAGCCCGAAGGGTGTGCAGTGCACTGATCCGGTCCCTCAATGGTGTGGGTCAAAGACGCGGGCGTGGATCCTGGGCGATGTAAGCGTGCCCCTTCCCCATCCCCTCCCGGCAACAGAGCAACAGAGGGTAAAAGAAGGGGGAGGTGAAAAGCAAAAATGACTCATAGCCGAAGGGAAGTACTCAAGCCATGGGAAGCATGCTGGGGGAGATTTCAGAGCGAGCGCTGTCAGGGGCTGGGTGCTCCGGGTGATGGGGGCAAAACCCAACGCCGGGTCGCAGCTACGGCTCGTCGGGAAGAAGTGAGTGTTGGGGGTTCGCGGCAGCAGAGTGCCCAGGCCTGGGAAGCGGCGCGGCGCGGCGCGTGCGCAGTGGCGTTCGGCGGGACCCGCTGAGGCAAAGCGGAGCCGCAGTGACAGAAGCCTGGAACGGCCGCCGGGAGAGACTCACCGAAGCGCAGGGGCTGGAGGTGGTGCTGGGGGTAGGCGACCGCTGGACCGTGACCAAAGCCATCTAGGTGCTGCTGGGCTGTTCCGGGCAGGGCATTCTCGTCCTGAGTGTGGGGGGCGGGAGGCTGACGGAGCCGAGATGGGGGCCGCGGCTGCGGGTCCGGGGTGAGGGGGTCGGAGAGGAAGAGGAGGCCGCAGGGCCGGCCTCGAGCTCCCCACCCACCACCCGACTCTTGCGGACTGACGCGCCGAACGGGCAGCTGGCGGGCAGGCGGGCGGTTCGCAGCTGCGGGGCACAATGAGCGCTCCCAGTGCGCAGGCGCCACCTGTCAGCAACCGCCTCTCCCCTCGGCGCCGCCGCCGCGTAACCCTTGAGATGCCGAAAGCGGTCTGAGTGCGCGCGCGCGCGCCGCAGCTCCCGGGTCTCTTCCCGGGTGTCGGCCCCACAGCTGGGGCTCGCGCGGCTTGTCTTCAGCGGAGGTGCTGCGGGAAGGGCGGGGACCCGGCAGCCTTCCAGCTGAGGGGGGTCCTAGGTGGGGGCGCCGCCAGAGTCCTTTCTGACAGACAACCATTTTGTGAGGTGGACCGCGCAGCCTGGCCAACCTTAGGGAAAAGAAACGGAGGCGCGAATCCCGAGGCAGGCGCGGCTTCTGGTGGGAAAAGGCTGCGCGGGGTTGCAGAGGCTGCGCTGGGCAAACCCCATTTGGGTCTTCTCTCGCGGGGGCGCTCACTGAGCTTTCCTACCCTCGGGTCACTGTTGGTGATGAGACTTTCTGAAAGGTGTTCCGGTTGGGAGCCTCATGGTCCCCGTACGCTTCCTCTGGTACCATGCTAAGGTCGGTTGAACCTGAGCGGAGAGAGCAGCGCTGAGAGTTGTAAAGATCCAGCCTGCTGTTTACCTCTCTTTTGCCTCCTGCTGTGCAGGATTTCTAACTAGGACTTGCTCCTGTGCTTTCTTTTCTGTCTCTGGATTTCCTAGGCATAGGTGAAAATATAGCTAAAGATATTTTAAAGGAATACATTTCTAAAAGATAAACGGAAAACAACATAACCAAGGATGTAGTGGGAAAAAAAAATCAAGATTCAAAAGGAAAAAAAAAATCATACAATGGCAAACACCATTGATGTTTACGCAGAGAAAGCATTGGGTGGATGCGATGGTAAATAGCTTCGTATGATCAAAGCCGTTGAAAACACACACTCAGGAGTCTGGAGTTTCTAAAGCCCACCTCCTTTCTGTTTGTCACTCAAACACTCTTGAATCTTATTGCTCCTTTTAAACTGACGGGGCTGTCATGAGCTCTTTCTGGTTGCTGTGTGGTTAAATGACACAAGAGCCCTCTATGCTGAGCCTTTGTTCTCTCCCTGGGGCCCTGTGGCTGAAATAATTAGCAGGGAGGTTCCATCAAGAATCACTGAGGGTCCCTGTACTGTGCAGTCCTCTGTAGAGAGTATGACACAGAAACCAGCTGGTAGGTTTTTGCCCCCTAGTGGTGATCGAGAGTGCCTATGAGACAAAATTAAAGATGTATGGTTCACAGATTAAACAATCTGCTTTTCCCAGAGCTCCATAGTAAACAGGAAAAGAGAAGGCAAAGTTCAGAAGAGCTTTGAACCAATACTTAAGAGACCAAACAGGAAGCTATATACAGAGCCAAGACTCCGTAGCTGAAAGCCAAATGGCCTCAAATCAATGAAATATGTGTTTATAAACCAGAGAATAAGCATTCAAATCAATATGTCTCAGTATGTTGATTCTCATACTGATTTAGGGATGCCAACATGGATTATCTTCTTATAGGTTGTGACAAACCCTTAAGAAATTCATCTGGGGCTGGGCTTGGTGGCACAAGCCTTTAATCGTTGCACTTGGGAGGCAGAGGCAGGTGGATCTCTATGAGTTCGAGGCCAGCCTGGTCTACATAGCATTCCAGGCCATCTGGGACTACAGGGAGACTCTGTCTCAAAAAAAAAAAAAAGAAAGAAAGGAAGGAAGAAAGAAAGAAAGAAAGAAAGAAAAAGAAATTCATCTGGAAGATAAAACATTTGATTCCTTACAGTGGGAAAGAGAACTACTGTGAGTCAGATGTGGCTTCCAGTTCTGGCTATGTAAAACCTTATGCAAATGATTTTAATTTTTTGAGCTTTAGTTCCTTATTCTCCAAGAGGAAACCCTAATTCACAGGACTTTTGTAATCAAATGAGATAATGTATGTAAACTAAAAAGTCCTGCATTCAATTAAGATAATTTTCTATTCCCTGTAGTTTGCTTTGAGTTCAGGTAAGCTTTGTTGAGTGCATTGGTTATGCTGAAAATAGCTTCAAGTAAAAGGGAATTTTTTTAAAAGATGTAATTCATGCTTTTACACACTGTAGATTAGTGGTCAAGATACATCTATACCTACCTATATAGGTAGGTATAGAACATTTTTGTTCAGCAATCTAAGGTAATAAAATCTCGATCAAATTGGATTATAAAGTACCCAAATTTGTGCTGTTTATACCAGGAAATTAAGTCATCAATTTACAAGGGAAATATCTCTTTCTGGTATATTAAAAACTAAAATTTGGAAATTATTGCTGAGTATTTATTAATTTGTTAATCGAGAACATGTTATGTATGTGTTATATACTAGATATATAGTGTGTGTGTACAAGAGAATGTGTATATGTCCATGCATACATGTGTGCAGTGTGTGGAGGCTAGAGGTTGATGTCAGATGCCCCTCCTTTTAGAGACAGAGTCTCTTACTGGAGCTTGCCAATTCATCTACATCTGACCAGCAAGCCCTTGGGATCTGCCTGTCTCTGCTTCCCAAGCTCTGGTTACAGATGTATATAAATGCTGTCCTTTAAGAAAAATGACTCCAAGCTGGGCGTGGTGGTGCACATCTGTAGTACCAGCACTTGGGAGGCAGAGGCAAGTGGATCTCTGTGAGTTCAAGGCCAGCCTGGTCTACATAGGGAGTTCCGGGCCAGCTGGGGCTACAGGGAGACCCTGCTTCAAAAAAAAAAAAAAAAAAAAAAAAAGAAAGAAAGAAAAGAAAAATGACTCCTTTGTTTTGTTTCTTATATGTGCTTATTTATTTATTTGTGCGTGTGTGTGCCCACATGTATGCATGCATTTGTGTGTTGGCATGCACACGCCATGCATACATGTGGAAATCAGAGGACAATCCATGGGAGATGCTTCTCCCTTTCCACAATGTAGGTCATCATCATGCTTGGTGGCAGGCACCTTTACCCACTGAGCTATCTTCAGCCCCTCCCCTATGTCATCCCCCCCAAACCCCCCCCACCGCTCCCCACTGCTGTCTTAAGAACAGTACAAAGTATCTCAAGAGCTTATAGCCTATGATCAGGGAGAAGTGTACATATCAAGTAATAGTTACAGTATAGTTTAGTGGTGCTGTGAATTCAATCACCTTTGTTGGCTCCAATGGAAGTATTATAGATATATGGGAAAAGTCCAGATAAGTACCAAGTTCTTTAGAAACAGAGAAAATAGGGCAAATGTATTTTGTATGATACTGACCTTTGGGCTTTGACTACAGATTCCAGTACAGCCTCTTTTTTGAACTAAGCTGTATCATATGGAAGAAATCTGTTCTTTCTGCACCATTTGTACCTGCTCTTCCCTGGGGTCCAGGTTCCTGCTGGGTCTTCGGGTGATCTGAGAAGTGGTGTCTACTATGAAAATCCAAAGACCCTCTTACTAACTTAATTTTTTTGTTTTGGTTTTTTTGTTTTTTGGGTTTTGAGACAAAGTCTCATGCAGTCCAGGCTGACCTCAAACTGTCTACAGAGTGGATATTGGCTTTGTACTCCTGGTCTTCCTGTTTCTACCTTCTAAGTGCTGGGATTACAGGCTTGCATCACCACATTCAGCAATGCAAAAAAGAAAGGCCAAAAGTAGGATTCTCAACAGAGCCAAAGAGACAAAAGTACTAGTTCTGCATATAGTACTTCGCTCTTCCCATTTGTGAAACTAGAGGCCCAATTGTGCCAGTCGAGTCCATTTCTCCAGGAGTAAAATTATAGGGAAACCTGAAGTTCCTGAGGTCAACTGGTTCTTAAGCTTTGAGAGCTATTGACCTTTTCTACAGAATGATACACTTGAATATTTCACATAGTTACTAAATGTCGTGGAGGATCTTTCATTAAGAAGCAATGTTTCTCAACATTTTTTCCTACACATCCTGACAGCCATAGAAATAATATTTACACAGAACATTTAGATTAGTTGAAAAGATTTAAAGATACATATATGGGGTTTTGGGAAAATTTGGGGGATTTAGGTCATATACCATTTTTTAAAATCAAGATCTCATGCAATCCAGGCTGGTCTTGAACTCACTATGTGGCTGAGTCCTGGAACCCCTGATCCTTCTGTCTTAGCCTACCAAATACTGAGATTACAGGCATGTGTCACAATGTTTGGCTTAATGTTACATACTTTTAATGAAAAAATAAGATGAATGTGTAATATTAAGAATGGTATTAAATATTTAATTTGTATATGTTTCCAAAATAAAATATTTTCAAAAAGATTCTTTCTGTAAACATAGCGTTTTTTTTTTGAGACAGGATGTCTCTATAGCCCCAGCTGGCCTGGAACTCCCTATGTAGACCAGGCTGGCCTTGAACTCACAGAGATCCACCTGCCTCTGCCTCTGGAGTGCTGGGATTAAAGGCATGCGTGATCACACCCATCTAACATAACATGGGGTTTTGGGGGGTTTTTTTGGGGTTTTTTTTTTTGGTTTTTTTTTTTCATCTTTTTGAGACAGGGTCTCCCTGTAGCCCCAGCTGTCCTGGAACTCACTATGTAGACCAGGTTGGCCTTGAACTCACAGAGATCTGCCTGCCTCTTCCTCCTGAGTGCTGGGATTAAAGGTGTGCGCCACCACGCCCGGTTTAACATGTTTTAATATACAATTTTATGATTGAAATGACTGCATTGAAATGACTGCATTGGCTTGTGGTGAAAGACAGTTTAATGATAATATATTTTTTGAGACAGGGTCTCACTATGTAACCCTGGCTGGCCTGTAACTCACTATGTAGACTAGGCTGGCCTCAAACTCACAGAGATCCACCTGCCTCTGCTAGGATTAAAGGCATGCACCGCCTTGCCCAGCTGAATCTTCAAATTCTTGGTAGTCATAATTAGTAAGAATTTAATTTGTACATGTAATTAATAAAAAAATTAGTTTTGTCATATTTCAAAATTTGTAAGTATAAATCTTATAGCTCTTTCTTACCTTTACCCAACCAGAACCCATTCAAACTTCATTATC